AACCCTTCCTCAGTCCTCGTTGGCAGGGGCTGCGTGTTCACTCTGCCCCCCTGGGGGGACGGCGTTGGGAGCAGGGCGTTTTGGGGATCGGTGATTAAATCGTTTGAATGCACCGCTCTGCTTCCCCCCTGGCCTGAACAGGAGCTGCCAAGCCCGGTTTAAGACCACGCTGGTTCGTATGTGGTCACACACAGCCCGGTTTCCTCGTCGACACAGCCTGTCCTGTTTCTGTGGAATCGCAGTGGTATTCTAGCCCACAGGGTCTTGTCTTGTCAGCAACGCCCCCTTGGACGCGCCATAGGGCCCCGTCACTCCTCCACCCAATTCTGCTGCCTCCGGGAGTGCGAGTTTCCCTGGGAGCGTTGCTGTTCCTTAGGGACGACTGCTAATTTCTATGGGCTTCCTCCCTGTCTCTCTCTCGCGCTGTGGTAGCCCGGACACAGGGGGAATGTGGTCCACCGTCGGCTGTTCCATCATCAGCTCTCACCCGGGATCCACGGCCTGTTTCTGCAATCACACCACCAATTTTGCGGTGCTGCTGCAGGTGTACAAAGTGCAGGTAAATCGGCGACCTCTCGTCGAACGCTCGGGCTCATCCAGCAGGCAGGCCTGAGTGTCTGCCTATGGGGACGGTCACAGAGCTGCCAACAGGAGCTGTGTTTGATGTGTGATGTGTCTTGGAACAGAGGAGCTCAGAGGAGGAGCTGACTCTGAAGACCCTGACGTTTATTGGATGCGGAGTTTCTTTCTGTGCCCTGATCGTTACATTCGTTCTGTTCCTGGCAGTGGGGTAAGAAGAATCGTGTGTGTGTGTGTGTGTGTGTGTGTGTGTGTGTGTGTGTGTGTGGGGCATGGATATTTAATGCCTTTAGCTGAGAATTCACATGAGATACTGTTAGACAGCTGGAGCCATTTAATTCTAGTAAAATAATAGGTAGCAGGTTTAAAACAAACAAAGGGAAGGTTTTCTTCAACCTGTGGAACTCCTTGCCAGAGGATCTTGTGAAGACCAAGACTTTAACAGAATTCGAAAAAGAGCTGGATAGATTCTTGGAAGTTAGGTCCATCAACCTCCATGGTTGGGTAGGGATGGTGTCCTGGCCTCTGTTTGTCAAAGACTGGGAATGGGTGACGGGAGGGGTCACGTGATACTTGCCTGTCCTGTTCTCTCCCTCTGGGGCACCTGGCATTGGGACGCTGGGCTGGATGGGCCTTTGGTCTGACCCAGGATGGCCGTTCTGATGTTCAGTGGTTGAAAACTGAGCCCAAGGGGGCGAGTTGGATGCTGCAGGCTTGCTCCCTGGGCGGGGTTTGCTGGGGGTTTCAGAAGGGCTAGTCCAGAAGCACAGCGCTAGACCCACGGGGGGTGGTTCCCAAGGGCTGGTGCGCACCGACTGCTCGTCGCGGGCGTGTCCGGGGCCCGAGGGCTGCCCCCGCAGTTCGCCTCTAGGGGCCTGGGAGAGCAGCGCCGCGCGCGTCGGGGGCCGGGGGGGGGGGCGTAAGGACAAGCCGTTTCCACGGCGCGAGTTTTAGGGAAATCAAACCCTGACGGTGCCCCTCTCCATGGCCACAGACAAGCCCTGAGAGGCCGAGTAACCGGGCGCTGCCGAGAGCAGCAAGTCTCTGTCCGACACTTGCCCCTCACTGAGAGGCGCGAAGGCCGCACGGGGGGACCCGCCTGGTCCCTGGCAAGGGGCTAGTAAGAAAACGGCCGAATCCCGCCCAGCTTTTTTACTGAGCCCGGGTTTTCCGCTGCCTCTCCTTAGCGTGCCGAAGAGCGAGCGAACGACCGTCCACAAGAATCTCATCTTCGCCTTGGCTGCGGCTGAGGCTCTGCTCATGTTCAGCGAACTGGCCAAGACCAACCAGGTAAGAGGGCGAGGAGGCTGCCGGACGTCACGCTGGCCGTGACCTCAGACAAAGCCTCGTCTCGCGGATGAGCGATTGCCAGCACGCCGTGATCCAGAGTACGCGGGATCGCACGGCCCTCGGGAGCATGCTTGGTGCCCTCTGTGGGCCCGGTTCCACCCCCCATGCGGGCAGGTTGATTTTTGACCCAGAAAACCCTGCAGGAAGCATCAAACCTCAGCCTGGCTGATACCACCTCCTGTGAGCCCACAGGATAAGCAGGGCCTGCCCGCTACCAGCAGGAGAGACTGCCAAGGACAATCCGGAGGCTGTCGGAAGCAGTGCCCATTCCCACCCTGGAATGTGCTGGAGCACGGTTCTAGACTGGGGAGCCGTGTTCCCTGTATGCTGGGCACATGTGTGTCCACACAGGGGAGATTTAAATGCCACCCTGCTGATTAGCAGAGCGCCCCGAGCTGCGTTTTTGTTTCTCGTGGTGGTGCACATGGCTCGGTGCACGTAACAAAATGTATTCTGCACATGGGTGGACAAAATCCGCTCGTGGCCGGAAAAGATTAGAGGGAACATTGCTGGGGAGCACAGGCCTGCTTGAGGGGCTTAGCCTGCTCTGAGCTACTTTGGCCTCTTTTCCTTCCCCTGGCGTCTTAGACGTGGTGACATGGGCAGTGACACCCGGGAGGAGTTTGGCCCGTCCTCTGTCCCAAAATCGGCCCCTTCCCCTTGTGTTACAGAGTGCGGCGAGCTGTGCAAGAGAGCCGCTCTCGCCCCAGAGCTGGTTGCATTTCCATGACGGGTGGCGTGATTTTGTAAATCAGTTTGTCTGGCGCACGGCGCGCCGGGTGCTCTGTAACTCGTGGCTGGGGCACCACAAGCCCATTGCACGGCCTGGCTGTCCTTGTATAGAGTCGCCCCGGTGTGGTTTGTGTTTCAAGGCAGCGTGGCCGGGAACCGCGTCTTCCCCCTGCGCTAGGCCATTTTGGCAGATGATTCCCGTCTCGGCCACGCTGGCTGGCTGACCTGTCTCCTCTCCCAGGTACTGTGCTTCGCTGTCACAGCCTTCCTCCACCTCTTCTTCATGGCCGCCTTTTCCTGGATGCTGGTGGAAGGGCTGCTCCTCTGGAGCAAAGTGGAGGATGAAGTTTTACTACATGACTGGCTGGGGTAAATGGGAACCCAGCGGCGGGGGCCTCTCGTGAGCTCAGCGCGGCGATTTCTCTCTCGGAGTCCTTGCGGGAAAAATGTCAGCATAACGGATCGCGAGTCACCCTTTGCCAAGCGTTCGCATTGCCCCGGGCGGTGTGTGGGGGCCACCCTCGCCCTCCGGGTCTCTCCCCCCTTGAAATGTCAATTAGCAGACGCTGGGATCTTAGCTGCCAGTGTGTGGTGTGCTTTATTAACACGCAGTGGGTGTGTTGAGACTACAGGGTTTTGTCAACAAACGTGGACATTTGCCGACAAAACTATACCTGCGTCTACACTACCACCGAGTTCTGTCGACTGTAAGTCACCAGAACGCGGCAGTTTTGTCGACGGTGGTAAACCTCATTCTACGAGGAATAACGCCTTTTGTCCACAGAGTACTGTCGCCAGAAGGCGTTATTGCATCCGCACTGTGCTTTTTCAAAAGAGAGCGTCTAGACGCTCTGTCAAAAAAGCGTCTTGCTTTGTCGACAGAATTGGCTGTAGTCTAGACGCTCTTTGGGTGTGTCTAGACTACCTAGTTTTGTCGACAAAAGTATACCAGCGTCTACACTACCGCTGAGTTCTGTCGACATAATGTCGACAGAACTCAGCAGTTTTGTCAACGCTGGTATACCTCATTTTACGAGGCATAACACCTTCTGTCGACAGAAGGTGTTATTGCCTGTAACATTGCGTCCAGACTACGGAGTTCTGTCGACAAGGCAGCTTGCTTTGTTGACAGAACTCAATGTATCTGGACGCTCTTTGTCGACGGAAGTTTTGTTGACAGTATCTGTCAACAAAACTTCCGTCGACAAACAGAGGCTTCTGTTGACATGAGAGTGTAGATGCAAAAGACAGTGTAGATGCAATAACTCCTTCTGTCAATAGAACTCTGTCGACAAAAGGTGTTATTCCTCGTAGAATGAGATTTACCGCCGTCGACAAAACTGATGAGTTCTGTCGACCTTATGTATCGTTTTGTCGACAAAAGTCCACTTTTTCGACAAAAGCCTGTAGTCTAGACACACCCTATCTGTCCACAAAGCCTCTGTTGACAAAAGCCTGTAGTCTAGACACACCCTATCTGTCCACAAAGCCTCTGTCGACAAAAGCCTGTAGTCTAGACGTACCCATGTGTGCAGAGGGGGACTGCTGATCGACTGCAATCGGAGAGCGTGACTGTTCTGTGAAGAGCAGGGAGGGGTCTAGAACCCGGAAAATTGTTCCGGACGGAGAGACCCCTTTTATCGGAGTGAATGGACGGACCAGAGCTCTGGGATTTGGGGGGGCTGTTTCAGAGTTCGGCTGAGAGCATCCGGGGTTCGTGTGACTGTGCTCAGAGGCGCACACGACATTCCGATAGTGGCTTGGATACTGGTCCGCTTGGTAAAACTGGTGCCATTGTTTGGATTGGATTGTCCTGCCTGGTGGGAGTGACACGGCCTTGGGGTGTTTCAGGGATGAGAGCAGAGGGTATAGGATAGGAAATGTAGTTTTGTTACACAGCATGGGCCAGGTTCCCAGCTGGCGTAAATCAGTACCCTCCATCGGGAGCTAAGGGGGCTACACTGATTTAGGCCAGTGAGGCACCTGGCTCCGAGGCTACGTCTAGACTGGCATGATTTTCCACAAATGCTTTTAACGGAAAGGTTTTCCGTTAAAAGCATTTGCGGAAAAGAGCGTCTGAATTGGCACGGATGCTCTTCTGCAAAAGCACTTTTTGCGGAAAAGCGTCCGTGCCAATCTAGTCGCGGTTTTGCTCAAGAAAGCCCCAGTCGCCATTTTCGCCATCGGGGCTTTTTTGCGCAGAACACTTTTTAGCTCTCTACACTGGCCCATACATTTGCGCAAGAGGGCTTTTTCCCGAACGGGAGCAGCATAGTATTTGTGCAAGAACACTGGCAATCTTACACGAGATCGTCCGTGTTCTTGCGCAAATTCAAGCGGCCAGTGTAGACAGCCGGCAAGTTTTTCCACAAAAGCAGCAATGTTTAAAACAACCAACCGGCCACTGGCCAATTTGGCATCTGCTGCCCACAGTGTATCTCTGTTTTCAGGTCTGCCGGTCGTTATTGTTGGCGTGACACTGGCAACTTCGTTTAACGAGTATGTGGCAGAAGAGCACTGCTGGCTGAACGTTCAGACTGACATCATCTGGGCGTTTGTCGGGCCTGTGCTCTTTGTTCTGACGGTAAGCGCCGAGCTCTTCTCTAGAACGGCAGAGAGAAGCGATTTCTCTCTTTGGTTTTAGGAAAGGAACTTGGACTCTGGTCAGCCAGAACCAAAGGGATCCAGGGTGCCAGGCAGAGAGCTTTTCTAATCCAAGAAACTGGTGGGGTTTATAGTGTCTGGTCCAAAGGGTTCCCTGTGCGTGGGGTGAATTTCTCCCATGTTTGCAGTTATGCATGACGCAGCGTACGGCTCGCTGGAGAAGCGCTTGATTGTATTTGGAGGGAGCGCTCCCATCTAACCCTTCCCCAGAAAACACCCGTTTCTCTGCTGAGTGACGTTACAATGGCAGCTAGAGGAGGAGATTGAGTGTTGGCCACTGTCTGCCAGTATGCTGGCAAAGGTCTAATTCGGCGCGGCAAAGCCCATGTCTGCCTTGTAATGGCAAAGCCACGCTAGAGGAAGGTGAAATGTTTGAAGGCGACAGGGCAGGAGACGTCTGATAATGCCCTGGGTTGCTGTGCCGATGCCATTGCCGACATTAGCCGGATGCGAGCCCAGCAGCTCAGAGCGGATTCCTCGCCAATCCCACCAGCTGATTTCTCTCCAGGGTGTAAAGCGAACTGCAGGGAAGCCCCCGGCAGAGACCTCTGCCCCCATGAGAGCTCACGGCCGAAGGGCGGAGTCTGGTGGTGCACGGCGCTCGCGGCTCTGTTCTGACTTGCAGGTCAACACCTTCGTGCTGCTCCTGGTGGTGATGGTCACAGTGTCCAGTGCGCGCAGGAGGTCGAAGATGCTGAGCCCCCGCAGCAGCCTGGAGAAGCAGATAGGAATCCAGATCTGGTGAGTCACACACACACAGGTGCGGGCACATACACACACACACAGGTGCGGGCGCGTACACACACACACACACACAGGTGCGGGCACATACACACACACACAGGTGCGGGCGCGTACACACACACACACACACAGGTGCGGGCACATACACACACACACAGGTGCGGGCGCGTACACACACACACACACACAGGTGCGGGCACATACACACACACACAGGTGCGGGCGCGTACACACACACACACACACAGGTGCGGGCACATACACACACACACAGGTGCGGGCGCGTACACACACACACACACACAGGTGCGGGCACATACACACACACACAGGTGCGGGCGCGTACACACACACACACACACAGGTGCGGGCACATACACACACACACAGGTGCGGGCGCGTACACACACACACACACACAGGTGCGGGCACATACACACACACACAGGTGCGGGCGCGTACACACACACACACACACAGGTGCGGGCACATACACACACACACAGGTGCGGGCGCGTACACACACACACACACACAGGTGCGGGCACATACACACACACACAGGTGCGGGCGCGTACACACACACACACACACAGGTGCGGGCACATACACACACACACAGGTGCGGGCGCGTACACACACACACACACACAGGTGCGGGCACATACACACACACACAGGTGCGGGCGCGTACACACACACACAGAGGTGTGGGCATGCACATACCCATCCACCCACCCACAGACACATACAGGTGCGGGCGCGCATGCACACACACACACACAGGTGCGGGCACACACACACACACACACACAGGTGCGGGCACACACACACACACACACACAGGTGCGGGCACACACACACACACACACACAGGTGCGGGCACACACACACACACACACACAGGTGCGGGCACACACACACACACACACACAGGTGCGGGCACACACACACACACACACACAGGTGCGGGCACACACACACACACACACACAGGTGCGGGCACACACACACACACACACACAGGTGCGGGCACACACACACACACACACACAGGTGCGGGCACACACACACACACACACACAGGTGCGGGCACACACACACACACACACACAGGTGCGGGCACACACACACACACACACACAGGTGCGGGCACACACACACACACACACACAGGTGCGGGCACACACACACACACACACACAGGTGCGGGCACACACACACACACACACACAGGTGCGGGCACACACACACACACACACACAGGTGCGGGCACACACACACACACACACACAGGTGCGGGCACACACACACACACACACACAGGTGCGGGCACACACACACACACACACACAGGTGCGGGCACACACACACACACACACACAGGTGCGGGCACACACACACACACACACACAGGTGCGGGCACACACACACACACACACACAGGTGCGGGCACACACACACACACACACACAGGTGCGGGCACACACACACACACACACACAGGTGCGGGCACACACACACACACACACACAGGTGCGGGCACACACACACACACACACACAGGTGCGGGCACACACACACACACACACACACACACACAGGTGTGGGCGTGCACACACCCACCCAACCACCACACACACACACACGCGCGCGCATTCAGCAATCAGTGCTCTGATGAAGGAGACACCAGGCAGTAGGACCTGCACTTCGACATGTAAAGCCCCATTGACTCTCCTCAGTCGAAGGGAGTGGGAGGCGGGGACCCCGCCTGCGCGATCAGGGCAGCCAGCCCGGGCCCCAGCAGTGAGCCGTCCATCTAGCCCGTCTCCGGCCTTCCCGTAGCGGCAGGTGCCAGGGGGTGGCCAGGGCAGGACGCCGATCGAGTTCTCCTGCCCCGGCTGCTGGCAGTCAGATGTTTAGGGACACCCCAAGCGTGGGATTTAATCCCTGGCATCTTGGCAACAGCCATTGTGGACCTGTGAGTTTGTCCAAATGCTTTGGAACCCACTTGTGCTTTTGGCCTTCATAATCCTGGAACCCCAGGGCGGGCAGAGCCCCCAGGAGGCACCGAGTCCAGCCCCCGGCCCAAAGCAGGACCAGCCCCGACTCCATCAGCCCAGCCAGGGCTTGGTCAAGCCAGGACTTAAAAACCTCCAGGGATGGAGATTCCACCCCTCCCTTGGCAATTTATTCCAATATTTGACCACCCTGACAGTTAGGAATTTTTTCCTAATGTCCAATCTAAACTTCCCTTGCTGCACTTTAGCCCCATTGCTCCTCGCTCTGCCACCTGCCCCCACTGAGAACAGCCTCTCTCCAGCCTCTTTGGACCCCCCTTCAGGGAGCTGCAGGCTGCTCTCAAACCCCCCTCACTCTGCTCTTCTTCAGACTAAATAAGCCCAAATTCCCTCAGCCTCTCCTCGTAGGTCATGTGCTCCAGCCCCCAAATCGCTTTTGTTGCCCTCCGCTGGATTTTCTCCAGTGTGTCCACATCCTTTCTGTTGGGGGGCCCGGAATACCCCCTGTGAATGAGTGCCAGAAGTTGACTGTGTGTTGCGTGAAAAAGTATTTCCTGATGTTTGCTTTAAACTTGTAGAACCCTAGAACACTAAAACTGGAAGGGATCTCAAGGGGTCATCAAGTCCAGTCCTCTGCCCCCATGGCAGGACCAAGCACCATCTCGATCATCCCTGCCAGGTGTCTGTCCAACCTGCTCTTAAATATCTGCAGGGATGGAGATTCCACGACCCCCCCCAGGCAATTTATTCCAGTGTTTCACCACCCTGACAGTTAGGAAGTTTTTCCGAATGTCCAACCTAAACCTCCCTTGCTGCAGTTTGAGCCCCTTGCTTCTTGTCCTGTCCTCAGAGGCCAAGGGGAACAATTTTCCTCTCTCCTCCTTGTGACACCCTTTTAGCTACCTGAAAACCGCTCTCCTGTCCCCTCTCAGTCTTCTCCTTTCCAAACCACACAAGCCCAATTCCTTCAGCCGTGCCTCATGGCTCATGTTTTCTAGACCTTTAATAATTTTGGTTGCTCTTCTCTGGACCCTCTCCCATTTCTCCACATCTGTCTTGAAATGTGGTGCCCAGAACTGGACACAACACCCCAGCCGAGGCCTCATCAGTGCGACTTCTCGTGTCTTGCTGTCTTTTAATTTCACAGAGTGACCCCCAGTCCTTGTGTTGTTTACACCTTCACATTTCCTTACTCACTTTCTCCATACCATCGTTTGCCTGTCCTTTATAGTCTGCCTGCGAGTAACAGCGGGGCCCTGGGAATGCGGGGTTGCTATGGATTAACAGAGTTAAATTCTAGTGGACAATGCTGCATCTTACTCAAGCATCTGTGACTAGCCCAGCCTGTCTGTTTCTTTGGATTTTAAGAATTTATCACCCCTGAGGTTTAGCAGCTGAAAAAAGATTCCCCACCGCATCCTAGCACTTTGATGGTAGGTCCAGCTTGGGTCGTGTGTCTGTCACATCCCTTGCTCCACATTTGAATTCACACCGTTCAGCGGCTTTCGGGCTGGGAAAGCACTGTTATTTTTGAGGCATTTACTGCAAAAACAAAGTCCCTTCTTGCTGTTTGAATCTCCGTTGATTTCAGTGCGATTTCTGTGATGTCTTATTTTGCTGATGAATGAAACTCAAAAGTGCTGAGAGTCAGTCTGGTACCCTAAAGTTAGGAAGGAAGATCAGATCAGGGCAAGAATGAAACCGATCTGCCTTTGCCCTTGCAAACTCCCCCTGGCTTTCTCCTGGGTGCCCTGTGATGTGTCAGTCTGCAGGAGCACAAAATGTGTTTGGGCCCAGACAACAGCCGCAGCTGTTCTGTTCTTGAGTTGCACGCACTGCATAAACCCTATGGAATACCAGAAGCATTGACTGGCAGAGAAGAGAGTGCTGCAGTTTAAAAAAAATAAAAATAAAGAAACTGGACTGAGATTTGGGAGATCTGGCTTCTGTTTAGTTCTTCCACCGTCCCCCTGAGTGATCTCGGGGAAGGCGGCTTCCTTGCTCCGTGCCTCAGTTTCCCCAGGCTAACTTGGGACAGTACAGAGGAATTGTTAAGATAAATCTCGAAGAATTTGGGAGGTTCTCCTAGACTGCAGCACCGGGTCCATACCTGCACCTGTCTGAGATTTGGTGACAGGCTTGGGGAAGGACATGGAACATGGCCCGGGGGAGGCTCTGGAACACAGATTTCAGTAATCAGTTAATCCAAACAGATTTTGAAAACTGCCGTTCAAGCCGTTACTTTATCACTCCTGATGAATCCTTATTGTTGTTTGCTGGCGCCAGTCGCCATGGCTAGACACACATTGTTCCTCCCGTTGCATAAATACGTTTTGCTAAATTTACAGTAGCCCAGAGATAGGGCGGTGGTGGAGGGCAGGGTGACACAGACAGGCTAATCAGACAGACAGAAGCCCTCTTGCCAGTGGGGGGCACCGAGAGATTGTCTGGTGATGTCAGAGAACCTCCCTTGCAAGGCTGGTGGAGCGGGGGTCGGGCAATGCTCCTTGGGGAGGCACCATTCTGTTCCCAAAGGAATGTATTTCGCACCCACCTTCTCCTGGCCACGTCCCACCGCTGCACACAGCCTGGCTACGGGGGGCGCCTCTTGTGCTGCCCCGTCGCCTCTGGGGCGTGCACACAGCCGTGACATGGTCACAAACGTCCCCTCAGACTCAGGGCTCTTTCCAGGGCTGTCGTCTCCCGTGGTCCTTGCCGCCTCGGGAAGGCCCAGCAGCAAGACCCAAGCAGAAAGCGGCTCCCTTTTGCTGTGCCAGGGCAACACCCTCCAGGCCCGCCCCGCAGTGACGCCAGCGGGAGGGCGCGGCGGGATGCGGCCCAGGGCTTTGCGCCCGGGTCTCTGGCGAGAGGAGCCAGCAGGGAGCGCTGGGAGGCAGAGCCGGCGGGAGCGGCAGAGGCAGGACGGGGCTGGCCTGGCATGGCCTCTGCTTCCCCCGCTCTCCAAGAGGGAGGTTTGGGCCCAAGTCACACCGAGCTGCTTTTTCTCTCAGGGCCACAGCCAAGCCCATCTTGGTGCTGCTGCCAGTCCTGGGCCTGACCTGGGTGTGCGGGGTCTTGGTCCACCTCAGCATCGTCTGGGCTCACCTCTTCATTGTGCTGAACTCCCTCCAGGTAAGGCTCGGCTCGGTGACTGGGACGTGTGGAGCCCCAGCGATGAGGCTGTGGGAGGGGTAGCTCAGCAGTTTGAGCATTGGCCTGCTAAGCTCAGGGTGGTGAGTTCAATCCTTGCGCAGGCCATTTAGGGATTTGGGGGCAAAAATGTGTCAGGGATGGTACTTGGTCCTGCTGTGAGGGCAGGGGACTGGGCTTGATGACCTTTCAAGGTCCCTTCCAGCTCTAGGAGGTCGGCAATCTCCATTCATTTAATCCAGCCTCCCCCCCACTGAGGTGTCTCGGCGTCTGTGAGACGCTGGAGTGAATCGGGCTCTGAACGGCCTCCCCGGCCCAGCCACAGATTGACATGCTGGTGGGGGAGGAGGGGCAGGTATGAGCAGGCCCCACGGGGGGGGGGCGCTCGTCCCTGAGGGATTAAGACTCTCAGTGGGTCTGCCTGGGGGCCAGGCCCAGCACCGTGCAGGTAAAGACCCCACCCGCGTGCCAGGGGAGACGGAAACACGCCTGTGGTTCCCTGGCTCGGCCAGTGGGGTTAAAACTAAAGGTGGCCCGTGGGCTGCACTCCGTCGGACGGGCCCTCTGCAGCATCTCCCCACTCGTGATGCTCGGCCGTGGGGCGCGCGCACACAGCACTTTGCAGCAGCAGGCCCCCCCCCCCGGCAGGTAAAGACCCCACCCGCGTGCCAGGGGAGACGGAAACACGCCTGTGGTTCCCTGGCTCGGCCAGTGGGGTTAAAACTAAAGGTGGCCCGTGGGCTGCACTCCGTCGGACGGGCCCTCTGCAGCATCTCCCCACTCGTGATGCTCGGCCGTGGGGCGCGCGCACACAGCACTTTGCAGCAGCAGGCCCCCCCCCCCGGTCGCCACATGCCTTTTGCTCCCCGCTAAGTCCCAGAGAGCTCTCATGGGTCAGAGCACGTAGCTCTGTAGCTCTGTTCTCTCCAGGCCCCGAGAGCTGGCTTATCCCAGGGGCTGTGAAGTACTTGGGAGCCTGGGGCGGAATTGCTTGTTGGTAAGAACTTGGACTGGAGTCGAACAAAGCTGTAGGATCCGTGCTGCGTTATTGCAAGCCAGCACGCTCATTGATTGATTTACCTTGTGTGCCTCGCCCCGTTGAACTGCCAAGGGCTCTCAGTGCCTCGCTGGGGGGGGGCATTACGTTGCAAGCGGCGAGTCCCATCTCCACGGTCCACGCGTGTGACGAGAGAACCTGCCGAAGGAAGACTGCCTAGGGCAAAGCGTTGGCGTTATTACAGCCTCGTTTTCCAAGCAGGCCTCTGGTTGTGCGAGTGCCCCTCTTCTTCCACAACCGAGTTGTGCGTTTCCTCGCAGTCTGGTTATTACACCTGCCCAAAATGGAAGCCGGGTCTGGACATCTGACCTTGAATGAGCAGCTTTGAGCGAGAGAACCTGCCGAAGGAAGACTGCCTAGGGCAAAGCGTTGGCGTTATTACAGCCTCGTTTTCCAAGCAGGCCTCTGGTTGTGCGAGTGCCCCTCTTCTTCCACAACCGAGTTGTGCGTTTCCTCGCAGTCTGGTTATTACACCTGCCCAAAATGGAAGCCGGGTCTGGACATCTGACCTTGAATGAGCAGCTTTGAGACGAGTGGTTTCTCAGCAGTCAGACAATAGATCATCAGGTTTAAGCACATAAGGGCGGCGCTCCTGGGTCAGACCTGTGCTCCGCCTAGCCCAATGTCCTGTCTTATGACAGTGGCCAACGCCAGACACTTCAGAGGGACTGACCAAAACAGGACAATTGCTGAGGGACCTCCCCGGGTCTGAGCAGCGTGCGGCGGGAAGACGTACAGTACGGCCCGGTGTGTGCGTGAAAGTCCTGGCAAAATGCAGCTTTAATGAAATGAAATTTCAGGCCTGCCAGCGAGGGAATTATGTGGTTTCCGTGGCCATAGAATCGGAGCCAGGCCTCCCATGAAATGGGCTCTCGTTCCCACTGTGCGTCTGACACACCAAGGGCCAGAGAGAAGTGTGGTCAAACGGGAGGGCTGTGCCCAGCCAGCTGGTGCTAGGCACCTCTGGTCCGAGCCAAGGTCTCCCTCTGTCAGACGGGTGGGGCTGCCGTGCTAGAGAGACGGGGCCCAGGGAATTCTTCGGCGAGGACGGCTAGCTGTTTCCTCTGGAATGGGCGATGTTTTCAGGAAGGGCCCAGTGGGCGACGGACCCTGGATGGTTGAGCCCACCTTGTTCCAACATGGCAGGGTTCTGGTGGCCGCCGCAGGCCTTTCTCACTACGGAGGACCGACGGGCTTTTCCGAGCGGTGGTTCCGCATCAGAGGAACCTAAGTCGGTCATAACGAGGTGTGACATAGGAGTGTTTACTTAGCGCTCCCTGCTGCCTCCTCCCTGGAGCTCATCGTTTTGCCATCTAAATCTTGTTTCTCATAATTAGATTTCCTGACATTAAATCATGGCTTTGGAATGATGCCTCTAAATTTATATCCCCATAAAATATCTCCACTGAGCTTTGTTTTGGTCATTTGCTGGAGAATTTACTACTGAGGAACGTCCCGTTGCAATGAAGCTTCGCGGCAGACCTTCTAATTGCAGTTTGCATGAGTGAAACAAGCCCCACTCCTACAGACCCACGCGGGAGGCACTGTGAACTCCAGCTCGGCCGTCGGGAGTGGTGCTTGTCAGGGGCCGTCCGTGTCCCTGCCTGGTGTCTCTAAACAGGCGTTGCTCCGGGGCGTCTCGCCTTCCGGGTTATAAAGACGCAAGCACATTTCTGAGCTAAAACACTTGGAATCCTGATTGTGAAGGGCCCTGCGGCTGATTCTCAAGCTGCCCACGCTTGGTCCAAGTAGGGCTGCATTAGTGACTTGCGAGGAACATAAGGGGGGTGCCGCTTTTGCATAAGATGGAGGAGCAGAGACCGGTGGCTGCGGTGATGGGCTGGGAGTCAGGAGACCTGGGGTTCGCTGGTGTCTTGCCGGGTGACCTTGGGAAAGTCACGTCACCTGTCTCCTGCCATGTCTGTAGGAGGCAGGACAGGGCCTGGCCCCCAAGATGAGTACAACTGTGAGTACAACGGGCCTAGAGCTTTGTTGGTACCTCTGAGGTTCCATCATAGCTCACAGTCGCCGGTGCCTGTAGTCTGGACATCTGTGGTCCATAGGGAGCCAGCCTTCCCTACCGGACAGACCGGATGCCCTTGCCACCCCTACTTGTGATCTGGCTGCCCCCGCTGTGCGCCGGGCGGAGTCCTGGGTTTTGGCACCGTCGTGTCTAGGGCGTGGGCTGTGGGATGCCACCAATCAGATTGGGCGCGGGGGCCACAGGGACTGACCCTGGCCTGCGTTTCTACGGCACCTAGAACACTAAGGCCTGGTGCAGGGCTGGAGTACCCAGGCGGTACCGCCGCGCACGTACCGCAGACGAATATCGCCCCCCGCGCGAGACTGGCGCCACGACCCAGACTCTATCTGAAAGCAGCGTTTTCGCTTTTCGGGGTGTTTCTTGGGGTCACAGGCTTGTTGGTTCCTTGAGGGAACGTGAGGCCATTTGGGAAAGAGACCGGGGCGGGGGCCGATTAGACACGTCACAGGCAGCAGCTGTGGGCAGTCTTGGCGGCCGTCCAGCTGAGAACGAGCCTTTCGCAGAACCCTCGCCTCAAAGCAGGTCCCCCGATGGCGAGGAGGGGGGGTCACAGAGCGCACCATACGCGCCGGAGCCTCCAGGGGTCAGCCACCGGGTGTGCAAAAGCCTTCCTCCACCTGGCGAGAGAGCGGCTGTAGGTGGAGCTAGAGGCGCGCTGAAACCCAGCGGCTGGCCAGAGAATTGCGGCTGGCAAAGGGTGGGATTCTAGCGAGAGCCTGCAAACCGTGACCTGTGGGGAGAGCGGCTCCTGCCCGGGTGGAGAGAAGACGGAGCTGGAGAGCGTGCAAACCATCTGGGGAAGGTGTGGGGGAGGAGGGGGGTGCCCACGGCAGCTCCGGATACTCTGGATAGAGATTTGTTCATGTCTGAGGTGCCCAGGACTGCTTGCTGTTCCTGATACAAAACTCACTGGGGTCAATGGAAAATCCCCACTGGTTTGAACAGGCTTTCTTCAGCCTCCAGTCCGGGAAGATATTGGAGCATGTGCCGAACTGTAAACACCCCGTGTGGAAGTGCTGTGCTCCATATTGATGGTATCCTGAGTCTGAGCCTGCCTTAAATTGGACGCCGGGCAGCCCAGGGCGCTCTGATATTGAGCTCAGGGGGCCTTGGACTAGCTCTGTTGTGTGTGTGCAGAGGAGGGGAGGGGGAATAGTATTAAACACCGTTTCGGGTTGGGATGAAAGCAACATCGTTAGCAATTTTCGGTGAGTTAAAAAACCCTAGTTTCGGGCTCGGCGATCCGGCAGGGAGCATTCTGTTCCGATTCGGATGAGTTTAATGTTGAAATTTAAAAAAAAGTCGGTTTGAATGGAAACCGACCCTTCGGTGCTGTGCGTTCGCTAGGCCCCTCGCACGTTCCGAAATCCCAGGCGAGCGGCCTGGCCACCTCAGGGACCGTGCAGCCAGACTCTGGATGACGGGGATGCAAAGGCGTCCGGTGCCTGGTTCAGTTTTCCTGCTCCCAGGCGGGGAACGGCCCCAGTGGTGTCTGTGTGTCGGAGCGGGGGAGGCTCCGGCCCCTGACTCTGGCACATTTGGCAGGTTTCGCTTTAATAACCACTCCCGGCTCTCAATAGCTGAAATGAAGCCGTTATTGCCACGGGCACAAGATGGATAGCTGCTCGCATGCGTTCTCTGACCGTGCTTGGAGCTGGCCCAGCTGTGCGGGGCTGCTAAAGCACATCCGTTTGCTGTCAGATGGTGAAGGCCCAAGGCCGGCCAGAGGCCACCTCTCCGTGTTTCTGCTATTAAGGATGTCGGAAGGTTGACAGGAGGCCTGTCGGCTGTAATTAAATATCGTGTCAATGCCGCTTGCCTCCTCTGGCATCGCTGCTGGAACGGTGCAGCTCTGAGGGGAGCCGAGAACAGCACCAGCCC